TTGTTGCGGAAGTGATAACGCCTCTGACTCTTCTTCGTGACTTTGGTTCAACTGAAGCTGGAGATGCGCAGCGCCACCTGCTGGACCGGAGCCGCAAACCGCAAAACCACCTGGACTGTGACGGAATAAAATTAAAAAAAAAAAACATTTTAAAAAATCTACAAATTTTTTTTAGATGTTTATTTTTTAATTAATTTTAAATTTGTTTAATGTCTAGCATATTTAATTAATATTTATTTATTATTCATTTGTTTAAATGAATCAGAAACCATTTTAATATCTATTTTATGTTTTAAAACAAAGTAGATATTTCAAACAATTTAAATAGTCTATAATAAACATATAGTTTTGTTGTTCTATTTTTTAGTATATGCTACCACTGTTATTCAGTTGACATTTCTCAAAACAGCTAGGAAAGTAAAATAAGAAAGATAAGTGAATTATTAAAATATTTAGAATATATGCTGTTTAAAGGTGTAAAATGTGATTATGTAGAATATAATGTAATGTGCATTCAGTAGAATTTACACTTGATATATATTATTTATAACCAAATGTCTCTTTTTGTTCATTAGCTACATTATATGGATAGCGACATTATAATATTCGGTTAATATCGAGCATAGAATATATTTAGATACCAAATGACAAATGTATATTTAAAATATAATATAAAGTGCAGTGACTGGTATTTAAGACAAACTTAAAAACTATTTCCTAACTCTGTCTCCACAAGATAACATTTTAACATTTACCTTGATCTTTGACCTTGAAACCCCAGTATTATTTTTTTCCCCACATAAAAATCTTACTTTACATTCAATATTTTATATCAATAATGATATTTATGTTAACATACAGCACAGTGGAAGGAGAAAGACGCAAAAAAGTTGTTGAGATTAGGATGCAGCACAAGCAAGATATAACACAGCAGCTGAACCGTCGCTCACTTGGACCTGAACAATAATATCATTTGTAATATTACTTGTCTTAATAGTTGAGTGCAAACATTTTTTTTTGCAATATCAGTTTCAGTATCGTGTGACACGTTTAATTTTTACGTGAAATGTTTTAATTTTATGTGCAAAATATCACATGTAATGTTTCATTATGATGTGCAGTATTTCACTTTTATGTACAGCATGTCAGTGTAACGAGCAATAGTTCAATGTCATGTGAAACATTTCATTATCACATGTAGCATTTCAATTTCATGTGTAATAATAACAATGATCACATGTAACATGTGCAGTATTTCATCATGATGGATAATGCTTCATTTTCAAGTACGATATTTGAATTATATCTGCAAAATTTTGATTTCATGTCTGATATTTTAATCATATGTGCAATAGTTCACTTTTTTGGGCAAAAGTTTAATTTCATGTCAAATGTATTAATTAGATGTGCAACAATGTAATGTGCAATATTTCATTATCATGTGTGATACTACTTTACTATATCAGTGTTACTTCTTACTTTTCTAGTTTATGACCTTACTTTAGCTTACTGTTTCATACTTTCATCTTATTGCTTTTCTGCAATTTTGTTGTTTTTTTTGAGCAACATCTAGAAAATGATTTCCTTTGGGATTATTCCATAAAAATGTACTAATATTCAAACCAAATCCAAACACAATAAAAGTAGATTTTGCATTATTTTAAACTACTAATTATTGTGTAAATTTAACATTTGCTTGTTAGCAGGTAGCAAGGCAGCATCTTTAGTAGCTTGTATTTTATTGTTTATTTGACAAGGCACCATATTTCATGAAGTTTTATCTTATCAACACATAGTAACTAACGTTTAAGCAAAAAAAGAAAGGATGTTTTGCATTAATTTGAACTTGTCTTGTAGATTTATCATTTGTTTATTAGCAATCTATTGCTATCTGAGCAATATATGACAAAATAACAAGGACCAATAAAGTTTTATTTTATCAAAAAATAATAAGTTAAGTTTAAATTTAACATTTGCTTATGAGCAGGTAAGTATGCAGCATTTTTAGTAACTTGTATTTTATTGTTTTTTGAGGAGGCACTAAGTTGTGTCATGCAATTTGGGGATCAATAAAGTTTTATTTTATTAAAATATAGTAACTAAGCAAAAAAACAACAACAAAAAAACAAAAACGGAACAAACAAACAAAAAGAAAAAGAAAAAAAAGGATGTTTTGCATTAATTTGAATTTATTTCGTATATTTATCCTTTGTTTATTAGCAAGTAACCAAGCATCATGTGTCATATCATGAAACTTCTGAGCAATATCTGGCAAAATAATGTCTTTTGGGATCAATAAAGTTTTGTCTTTTCAAAATATAATCAGTAAAGTTTAAGCAAAAAAAAAGTACACATATATGTTTTGTATTAATTTGACAACTAACTATTGTGTAAATGTAACATTTGCTTATTAGCAGGTAACAAAGCAGCATTTTTAGTAACCTGTATTTTATTGTGTTTTGAGGAGGCGCTATATTTGGCATGTCATGCAATTTGGGGATCAATAAAGTTTTATTAAAATATAGTAACTAAGCAACAAAAAAAAGAAAGAAAGAAAGAAAAAAAAGGGACGTTTTGCATTCATTTGAACTACAAATTATCCTTTAACATTTGTGTCTCTGCAGGTAACTGGGCAGCATGTCATACCTGAGAAAAGGTGTGTCCCTCAGAGGCCCGCCCTCTACTGTTGGCAGCGCTAAAGTGTAATAACATTAAAGTGCAATTTCACGAGTGCGTTAAAATACGGGGTTATAATTGACTTTAATATTTAAACAACAACAACAACAACAAAAAATGTGCCCGTTAATGTTGTGCCGTTGTGTTTTGAGCGTGTGCCCCCGTTGAAAATGAACGGCGCGCTGTGCCGCCGTTGAGGACCGCTGGTTTCGGTGTGTGCACTGCCCCGGCGACCCGTGCGGTGATGGCGAGGAAACCCCGTTGACAAGGCACTGCTTTTTCATGACGGTGAGTTTCCCCTTTGAGTGTATTATAATTTTGTGATAAAAATTTCAAGGAAAAAACACACACAACCTCCTTCCTCCCTTCCTTCAGGGAGGGAAGAGAGTTTGAGCGGAGAGAAAAATCTATCCGAGACAGAACAGGGACAGTGAGAAAAATATATGAGTGGGAGAGGGAGCAGGAGGAGGAGGAGAAGGAGGGGGGAGCAAATTAAAAGTTGCCAAATGGAGATATTGGGTTTCAAGAGGAGTGAGACAGCAGTAAAAAAGGGTTTGCCTCTTAGACTCGTCTTTATGTTATGCTAATCGGGATAAATATTTATGGCTCGACGCGGTTTCGTCCTTTAGCCTTTTCGACGAATTCCTCCTAGCCGACAAAAACAGGCGTCGTCGACACCGCGGCTAGCTAACCCGAGCACAGGCCGGCGGTTTTTTGGGAAAAAAAAAAAACGGGCGACCCACGGGCGGACAAACAACCCCGCATCGAGACGCTTCGGTTCGGGGCTCGTCGAGGCAAATGTGGTTTTTGTTTCTTCCAACGGTGCTGCTGCTGTGAGATGAGCCCACGTAGAGGACGAACGAAAGCCTCCCCGAGCGGAGCAAGAAAGAAAGAAAGCACGTCAGCGGCGGCGGCGGCGACGACGACGACGGGCGTTTTTGTGCCGCCGCTCGAATGCGATTATCTTTCCGTCGATTCGGTCTATTTTTGGAAATAAAACTTGCGGGCCGAGCCGTACGTTAGCCGTCTTTTGTGTGACGGTACCGAGCGGCTCCGACTAGCTTGGCTGTTTGCGGCGACGCGAGCATGCTAGGGCGGATTTGGGACTCCGTGAATCTGGGCTCTTAAATTATACAAAATGTTTCGGGGAAAAACGCCTTTAAGTCGTGTGTTGTGATCGGTTCTGTCGTTGTGCCTGCAACTCCGATGCATTTAAGCTGCTAAATGGCGTCTTTTGGTGAATTATAGGCACTTTTAGCTCAGTTTTGTATTTTTTTTAAACCATAGCTAACGGTACGGTTTGCTCGGTGAAGCTAACGTTCACGGGCTGGAGTTACTGCTCAGCTTTCGGTGGTCCTTTTGGATTTTTTTTGGGACAAATTATTTATTATTTTACACCCAAACAGGCCACATTCGAGGCTTTTTTTGTGGAATAAAATGCTAATCGTTTTAGCTTGAAAAGGTTGCTTTTGCCTCACAGCAACTTTTGAAGGACAAAGACCAAAAAAAACACCCTCGCTCGAGAAAATATCGTTCTTTAACAGATTAAAACTCGGTTTTCTGTGTACTAGTTAACTTCAGGAGGCTGTGTTCTGTCTTTAGGAGTCACAGTAGTTCGGTTTTAACAGCCTGTTCGGTGCTGCAGCTCTTTCGGTCTTTGTTCTCGCTGAACCAAAGATGGAGGCTGGACGTGGCTCGGCTGTAAAGACAGCCTATGGCAGGGTAACAGCCATTTTGTAGCATTGCAGTTGCTTTGCACAGACAGGAACAACGACAACAACAAAAAAAACCCCACCACATTTGCCCATCACCAAAACACCGCATTCTGATTGAAACAACACATTATTCAAATGCTGGATTGGTGACCACAGTGATTTGAATTTTCTGGCATTCTCTCAGCATGTGTGCACCACATTGCCTAAATAAAGTAACTTGACAGCCATTCAAACAGTCACTCATTAGTATGCTGGATCAAATAAGTGCCAATGTGCTTGGTTTTATCCCCCCCACCACAAGTCCCTCACTTTATTGCAATGCAACAAGGGCGCCTATGTTGGCTGACACAACATAAAGCCAACACCTCTTTCAATGTAGAGATGAGGCTCCAAACAGCCATTCAAAGGTATAAATGGAGCAGGGTGGAGTTATTTACACTTAAATGCCCATTTTCACTGTGTGCAGAGAGACGACCAATGTGGGACAGCAGAGGAGGGTAATGGGTGGGAGTTTGTGTGCCAAAGCATTTGTAGGAGGGGATGAAGGCCATCCTGTCCTTCTACTTATGTACTGAATAACAAACGTGTCCCCCCGCTTCCCATTCCACACCCCTGTTTCACACACACTCATCTGTCTTTGTGCCTCTCCCGACGCTCTCACACCCTCCGTCTCACATGTACAGTTTTGTAATTGTACTAAATGCAGTTTCTCACCCTGCAGCCCAGCCTGTTACAGGAAAGAAAGGGTGTTAAATGACTGAATCCATGCTTCCTGCTGGAAATCTGTGAGTGAGATGTGCTTACTACAAATATAAAACAACACACGCTCAGCTTTTAAGCGCTCCAACATCAGAATAAAAACAAAAACAAGCGATACATTTGGCTTATTGACACTGGAAACATGAGGTGTTGGACTTCTCTCGTGGCCTCACTTGCTATCCCTTCATACTCTTTCAGGTGTCATGGATGATGAGGACGATCGCCGTCTTCTGGATATTTTAGGGTAAAGAGAAAAATAACCCTCAAATATACATAATCTCCATACCATTGCTTTATGAATAAACACACAGGGCCACACATTTTTACTTAAGCAACACCTCGACTATTCCTCTTTGAAATCAGAGCTACGACTATCTGTTCGCTCATTTTTTCCTCTTTTGTTGAATTAAGGAAGTTAATAAACCGATAGCCCATTCATTAGAGAGTTGGTGAATATTCTGTCACGTCTCAGTGGAGTTAAGCAACATCTAAGGCACACACATGTTAAAAGAAACCGATGTGACCTGTGTTAGGTTTCTGAGAGGCCCATAAAAGTCTAATTTTTACCCTTTTCAGAGATGTGGATGCACTGAATGATTATCTCCATGGCAGCAACAGCAAGTCTGTGAGTGATACTCGTACAATATATTCAAAGTTCGTCTGTGTAACTTCCTCAGTTACATCACTTGTGCCTAAAATAACTGAACAGGGTTTGATTGTTTGTGTTTTTTTTTTCTTCCCTGCAGATTGAGGAGGATGATGTGACAAATGCAGCTTATGGATCAGATGGATCCTTCTTTGGCAGCGACACCGTGAGTATACCAGTGATTACCTTGATCCAACCAAAACAAAAACAGAGTTTAGTCTGTGATTACAGATTTGGTTACAGGTGATGAATCATGTTGTAAACACAACGTTTTCTCAGGCTTGTGGTCGGATTTGAGGAGAAGCATCAATGTTTTGCTTAGTATTGAAATGATCTATGGGCACACTTTTAAGAGCCGAGGTGGGTTATGAGTGAACAAATATCTGACTAGATGACCCCAAGTTATCCTGATCAGGGAACAAAGGACATATTGTTAAAAGTTTTTGATGTAGTTTCCCTCTTTGTACAGAATGTGCTTCATATACAAAAGGTTTTCCATTTTCTTCTCCAAATGTGTCCTTCAGGCTGGCTCCAACACTAGCCTCAAAGATGGCTCTTCCACAATGGGTGAATTTGGCGAGGACTCAGCCGGGGCAGGCCTCCAGCTCTCGAGCAGCCTCTCATTCATCGAGGATGAACTGGGGGCCACGGCGTCCCCTGGAGAGGTGGATCTTGGGGGAGAGGATCAGCCCTTCGACATCCTGCAGAAGTCTCTCCTGGAGGCCGACATCACGGAGCAGACCCTGGCCCAGGAGGCCTTGTTGGACTCCCAGCCTGCTCCCACTCTGGTGCAGGCTCCTGTTCCCTTCTCCTCCCAGCTGGCCTCGGGGGGTTACGGAAGTGGGGTGGGCGTGGTGACCACGGCGACCGCTGCCTTCACCACAGGCCAGTTCCTGCAAGGAATGTCCCAGCTGCCCAATGGCTCCGCCCAGCACATCCAGGTGTTGGGCTCATTTGGGGCAGGTGGTGGGGTGATGACTCTGAGCAGCTTGGAAAGGACTCCTCAGATTGTGCTAAGGCCGGGGGTGTCTGTAGCTCCGGCAGGGAGCGCGGCAGGGGGGCAGGTGTTTGCCCCTACACAAGGTCAAGTAGGCCAAGTGGGCCTACCCTTCAAAAATATCCCCCTTCAGAACATAATCATCCAGAGAGGCCCAGGAGGGACCCAGACTCTTGTTAGACCAATCCAGCCTAAACCCCTTCAAACGGGGCCTCAGACTGTATACAGCCTTGGTCTTCAGCCCACTCCCACCACCATGGCTAACGTAGTGAACGCTAACACTGTGGCTCCCGGGGCTCAGTACACAGCCAATGGCTCCATCGTAGTGCAACCGCCTCTGGAGCAGCAACAAGCACAGACCCAAACTAATATACCACCTGGACAGTTCTTACTGCCCAGCTCTCTGGCGCTCACTCCGTCCAACACCATCCACAACGGCCCCGCAGACCCCAACGCGAACACTCTAATTACCAGTCAAAACACAGTGCAGATTGTTGCAGGGCAGAGCTTCACTGCACCACCAGGGGGTCAGCTGATTCTGAATCAGGGAGTTGTGAGCGGGAGTCAGGTTGGAGGGGGCGTAACTCAGACGTGGACGGGAGTTTCTTGTGCGAGCTCCAACCCCGTTCAAACATCGTGCGCTCCCGGGCGGCTCACGCTGGTGGGCGCGGCGACGGCGGGGATCGGCAGTCAAGGCCAAGTGACGGCTAGTCCTGTGCAGCGCCTCCTAGTGACTCAATCCCAGAACTGCGCCTCTCTGTCGCCTTTACCTGGTGGCGTGACGCAGGAACAACAGGACTACAGACAGGTACAAATGCAAGTTAATGGTGGCGGCTCATTAATTCTGACTTTGTTGGTTTTTCGTGTGTGACTTTCCTGTTTTATTTTTCAGAATTCTTCATCACCGGCTTTTAAACAGGCACACCTCGGCAGCATCCATGGTAACAGAGGCTTTAATCGCATTTCAGTGTCATATTTTGAAAAATATTGTACGCGTGAGATTCTTCTGCTGCACTTTTACCTGATCGTGTTGTTTGTTTGATCATTTTTAGTCATGAAAACCATGACACAGGACTCAACGCTTAACTCTGAGGTATGGTAGTCATTTACTTATCACGTCTGTGTGTAGTTTAAGGTGGAGCAGGCTAATTGGAAGGACATCTAATGTGACAATTTGGTTTGTTTGTCTTCACAGCCCAGTGCGCAGAAGAGGCTTATCCTTCCACCGCTTACAAGAGGAGAAATGTGAGTTGTTGTTTTTTTTGTTGTTGTTGACATTTTCGACATTTGATTGGATTATCATTCAGCCATTGAGCAGGCATGTCTCTTCCTGTTATTTCCAAAGGATTTTACAACAGTTGAGGAAGGATCATGCTGGAGTTCAGACCCCAGATCGAAGACAGTTCAAGTCGATCGATGACGCGCTGCTCCGACTTCTCCCGTACCACGTGTTCCAGGGAGCTCCACCGAGCCAGGATGAGTTCTCACAAGGTACATAAAGCAGCTCTGTGTGCTGTGAAAGTAAAATCCTAGTTTCTAGAGTAAAACTGCTTTCACTTAAATCTTGTTTTGTGTTCCTAGTGGATGAGGAATTTGAAGTAGTTGCGAGTCATGTGCTGAAGAGAACCCACGCCATGGTCAACAAATACAGACGCCTACTGATGGTGGAAGCGGAGGTAGGTCCACACACAAGCAGGTGGTTGTACGTACATACAGTACGTGTGTGGCGTGTTGTGACTTGCACAGGGCTGACAGGCTGCCTCTTCCTGCCCTGCAGCGTTCCAGTCCGTCATCAGAAATGGTGATGATCGACAGGACCTTCAACCAAGAGGAGCGCAGCAACCTGACGCAAGACAAACGCATGGTACTAGTGGATCCAGGTAAAAGAAGAACAACAGTCGAGTAAAGATTATTTGAAGCAAATGATTTGTTCACAGTAAAGCTTTATTGAATTCTTTCTGGTTTACAGACAACTTCTTGGAGGACTTTTGCTGTGGGATGAAATCCAAACATTTCCAAGACCCCTGCCCCCCTCAGCCGATGTCCGACTGCAGTTGGAATCAGTCGGAAGGAGGCTCTACGGAGCCACCGTACAGGACAGACTCCCAGCCCGGGTATGGAGACCCGGGAGGGGGCGGGGCTGTCGGACCGGCTTCAACAGAGAGACTCCACCCGCCACACCTAGAAAACAAGAGCGTGCTGGAACTGAAGAGATCCCAGCAGCGCTTCGGGCCCAGCAGCGCCGGCAACAACAGCCTGGTCGCTGCCAACAGCTACCCCCAAGGTAAACCCTCGCATTTTGCAGCAGCAACAGCGTCGGGAGGACAGACGCACTACCAGCTGTCCTCCCACCCGATGCAGCCCCAGTACGCCCCTCAGCTCACCTCACCCCCTCACCCCGACACCGATTCTGCTCTGGAGGCGGCGGTCAACAGCATCCTGGAATGTTAAGACTGATATCATCCCCGGTGTATCATTTCAACTCCTGTTGCGTGTTTGCGTGTACTTTTTTTATTTGATGTCAAACTGATCTTGTAATGTTCGTTTTACGCCCCAGAGCCCTGTGTGAAGAGAGGTCAGCTCTTCTTTCAGGTCTATGATCTTGGTGATACGCGGCCATGTAGCATGTATGTATTTTGCTGTGTTTATTTTTTTTTTAAACGAGGCATTACGTCGGCGAGTCTGTCGAGTTGTTAGGCGAACACAGGCACTTACAGTTACCTATAGAGATCCGGGATTGTGTGCAATGCAATAGACTAACAGATGCAAAATGTTGTTTTATTTTTCTTTAAAGCGGTAGAGTCTGCAGCAACGTTGCAGCACTGAATGAACGAGTGCTCCTCTCTTCACACACCAGTTAATATTTAGTGCCAGTTGATGACTCCCCCCCTTTGCCCTACCTTTGCTGAACAACAGGGATGAGGAGGAGGAGGAGGAGGAGGAGGGACAACGTGATGACTCGGTGCCTGACTCTAGGTTTTTATATGGAAGTGTTTACATGAAGAAGCTCTATTCAGAAACATCCATTCACTTGTTTCCTCCCCGCAGAACAGCGTGCACACACACACACATGCTTTTGTACGCCGTAGGTTTTCCTTCACATTCACACAGACAAATTGCACTAAACATACTGTCGCTCATTTCAGGAACTAGGCTCAACAGAATGTGAACATTTGGAACTGAACCAAAATCGATTTGCCTGCTTTCAGCTGCCTGCAACAAGGACAACCTCTGACTCACACTAGAAACCCGTCAAACTAGTCACAGAAGACTCATAAAGTAGTGTTACAGTACTCAGCAGTGCTCTCTTTCTTCTGCTTAAGTCACACTTTCTTTGGCGTTTTTTTTTTCTTTCTTCTTTTGTACCTTAAAGGTATGCAAGTCCCGACACAGACGGAACAAATCTTTATCTCGACCACTTTGATCGTTCACAGCGAGTTTGTGTCCGTGGAGCTAAGACCTCAGATTGAGGAAGATATGTTAGAATATGCTGAATGAATCCTTTTTTTTATTTCCTCATTTTTAGAAATGACTTAATTAAAAACAGAGGACTGTTGGCTGTGACGTGTTCTCCAGGACAGAACGGTCGCAGTGTGAATGGACGGTCATTGATTGTACGTGTTTGTCTGCCTTCTGCATATAATTCTATACTGATCATATCGTTCTATGCTTTACTACCTTGACACGTCTGTCGGTGTGTGTGAGTGTGTTAATCTGCATCCATGCACACAGGCCTGTTGTTTTCATGTATCTGGGTAGTTTGATTACCATATGTTTGACTTTAAGCATTTTCTCAGTTCCCCGGGATGTTTTGAAGCATTTCTCACATTTCCTCTCTTTTCCCTCTCAGCAGCGCAACCAAAACTAATAGAGAGAGAGCGTGGCCTCGTCCAGAATCCCCCCTCGGCTTTTATTTATTTGTTTTTAAATTCATGTGGCTGTTTATGTGAAGCAGCTTTTCTTCCGAAGCCGGAACAACTCCAGTTATGTTCTGGTTTGGTCTGTTTTTGAGTTTTGTCGTTAACAGCCAAAACTTAGCTTACTGTGATACGTCATTACGATGAATCCTAAACGTTGGCGTTTTTGTTTTTTTTTTTGGAATTGCAAATGAATCTACTGAAATCTGCACTGTGGTGTAAGCGAGAGCGGTGGGTTCTGCCGAGCCCAGCACAGGACCAAAGCTTAGGTTAAATGTGTCGCATACTCTCGGGGTGGATTCTGGACGGCGCCACCTTCCTCTTATGAACATGTCTGTGAAATATGCTTGCTAGTAGGCTACAGGAGAAGACTGAAGGCCTTTTAAATGGGGTAATAGAGAACCCATCTGTCGTTTTTTTTTTTCTTTTATCGAGTGCCAGTGGCCATCGCAGCCTGCCTGTATCTTTGCCTCAACCCTTGCAGACCTCTTCTATCTACTGAGAAAACTGGGCTCTCTGCTTTGAAAGTAAATCTCGAAGGGTCAAGTGAGATTTTTGCTCCTTCAAGTGACTGCTGCAAGATTTTGTGCCTCTACAGCACTTAGATCCACGAGGACGTTCCTTTTTTGCTTAAAGTAGGGACGTGTCCGGCGTTGTGTTATCTGGATGCATATCACGGTCTCGAGGGCCTGCTTGGAACATACTGTGCTTTTTCTCCCCCGTTTTATTTAGTGCAGAGAGTTCTTCTTCTTCTTCTTCTGCCTCCATTTTCACTGTTGTTTTGTCCCACTTGATTTGTATAGTTTGTTGTTTTGTACAAAAATGAAAAGTTAAAACACAAAATATTTATAATTTTTGTATGGAGAGAAAAAAAAAAAGAATGTAAGAAAATGGAAATTATTTTTTATTGTGTTGGCTACGAAGCGATGTCAGGAGAAATCATTACAACAACAACAACAACAAACAAATGCTGTCATTTCTTCATTTAATGTGTGTTCACTACAGCAAGGACAGTCAACAATAAATTCATTTTGAATACGACAACAAACTGGTCCGGTCCGGCTGAGAACCTCCTTCAGTGTCCCTCCATTACTATTCTGTGAGCGTTCACATGCTGGCGCTGATGGACTAAGCATGCATAATCACATCATGTGACTGAGGAAGCATTTGCAAAAGAAAAACAGATTTGTAACCCTCTGCTACACAGATACAATCTTTTCACACAGATACCGATGTCGGGACATTTAGATTTTATGTTCCTCTGCACGGCGGCTGCCAGAGTAACGTTTTATCAAGTTAAAAATCTGCTGGTTCCCTTTAATCCTCTCGTGGACGCCGGCACCAGTGCCTCTGCACAAAAGAGCAAAGAAAACTGTGCATAGCTGACATGAGGCAGCCCGGCCCGTTGGGTTTTAGCAACACGACCCAACAGTGACACCTAGTGGAGCCCGTGGGACGCACAGTGGGGCTTTTAGACACGACGACTACATCTGATTAACTCACAAAAAAACCTAATAAAAAGTCATGCTATCTCTTCAAACATAAATAAAACACACTCGTTGATATGATAAATAGGATAAACGTGGTCATTTCTACAGTAACAGCCGCACACGCAGGCTTTCTGTTTAACAAAAAGACAAACGCAGCATGTAAATGGTCTGACTTAGAGAAATCTAGAAAATCTAATTTCTATCCTTGTGGTTAGAAAAGGGTTAAATTTTAGGCAAAGATGTTTTGAGCTGATAATCTGGTGACAAATTGTCCAACGCTGAGTTAATCCACACCTCAGTCAGGTGTGGCTTTAAAGGACGACGATCGGAGAACGTGACCAGCACACAGACACTCCTGTAGAAAAATAACGCCTAGAAATGCAGCTTAACGCTAATGACACGACGACGAGGCTGCTGACGGGCCCTTCAACGTCCATGACTATACCAGTTATTATGTAAGAAACCATTTCACACCACTGCTCTGGATGGGCGACAGCTTGGTCCCTTGAAGATGTTTGGTAGCTTCATTGAGTGGGATCAACAACCTGATTAACTCCCTGCACATGTGTGTCTTGTTCCTGACTTGTGATTTCTGGTTTATGACCCCACTCTATACCTGCACAGTATCATGTCCGATACAGTCATGACAACAAAAAAGAAAAAGAAGAAAAGCTAGATAATAAAATGATACCTGCTGCATTTATATCTTAGGTTCCCTGGACAGCTGAGGATTTATTATCGGTCCCTTTAAGGTTAAACGTTCCACATTTTGGGATTTGTTTTGTCGTGACACTGAGTTGGATCGATACCACTTTCAGATTTGTTCAGCTCATAAAGCTGCAGTTGCTTTGCATAGCGACTACGGATAAACAGCTAACCTGGTAACACAATCTGCCCACCAGCACCACTTAAACTCACTCATTAACTTGCTCTATATTGTTGCTGATGATGGTGATGACATGACTCCATCTGCTTCCAGCAAAGTTAATTAGAAACTCTACGTTCAGCCTCTACTTGAAGCTAAGCTAACTAGCTGCTGGCCCAGCTACACGTCGATATCCAGAAATCAGTTCAAACAAAAAGATCAATTCATCATCCGTGTCCACCGAACATTAGAGGACCCACAAGTTCCTGAATCGTCCCTCAGACTCGTCCCTCCCTGGTCCTCAGTGGTACTTTCTCCAGCGATCCAACTCTGGAACGACAAAAAAGTCACCAACAAGTTTATCTCCACATCTTATCAGACACCTCACTGAGAGCGAGCCGCAGACTTACTGATGTGAGGGTAGCTCCAGATGTAGCTCATCACACAGTATCCCACCAACAGCATGCCCAGTCCGGCCACGCCGCCTTTCTTCACGTCAATGTACTTCCTGTAATACCACTGCCAGCCTGCACGGAGCACGGAGAGAGAAGAAGTCTTTAAATGAAAGGAACGGTTGTTTGTTGAGCTTTGTGTGAGGAGACAGATCTCACTTTGCACCTGGTTAGCTTAGCTTAGCAACTATCAGCGTAGAAATAATCAAATCCACCTAAAAGCAACTCAGCGGTTCTCAAACTTTTTGAGTCACGACCCCCAAGATAACAGAAGTTTGTGTTTGTGACCCCAGTTTGTGCATTAATGTGTTAAAAGTTCATGTGTTTATTCCCCAGATTAATCTCTTTACATTAACACATTAATTATCTATTGAATGAATGCATGAATTCGATTAATTTCAAACAAATAAAAGGGAAAAAATATAAAAACAAAAGAAAATAATTTTTAAAAAAAGCAAAAAAGAATAATATCTCATAATCAAATCATAATATTAACAAGTTCGAAAAAGGAGCGGGAAGATACTTTTCATTTTGACAGCCCTAATACACATTTATTTGATAAATGTAGCCTTTATTTATTTATTTTTCTTTTTTTTAAAACAATAATCTGGCGACCCCCCTTGAAATTATCTTGGGTCCCACATGGGGGTCCCGAACCCCAGTTTGAGAACCACTGCCCTAAATAACATGTCATATCTTGTTTGGGAAATCTGTAGAACAAACTGATGCGTAAAAATGACGTGTTGAGGCCTTTCAGGAAGTCAGAGCGCACAGACTCCAGGCTGGTGTTTATCTTCTCGTCTAGCTTTGAGCAGAAACACTGGATAAGCACCAGCAGACACACAACCAGGAGGTCTGCTGGTTTGCTGCAGCTCCCAATGCTGTGTTTGCACCTTGTGTCAGGCGAGTGAGACGCTGACCTCTCTGCACCATGTCCACCACTTCTCTGGGGCGGCTCGGCGTTCTGCAGGCCATCCACTCGGGCAGCTTCCTCAGCGTCACCTGTCCAAGACGCTGCTGGGCCAGAACTCCTGCAAGTCATAAAGAGTTGATACACCGACAGGCAAATACGCAAAAAAACCTCCTCTCTCATTACAGTAGGGCTGAACGTCGTTAATACTAGCGTCGGCCTGTCTGTTAGTAACTCACTGAAGATTTCAAACAGGTTTTTCTACAAAAGTTTGCTGAAAAATAGTTTAAAATAACGATTTAAATCTGAACAACACTGTCTGATTAAGAAACAAGACGAGCAGCTAACATCTATTTTCATTACCTGCCATTTATTTTCTCAATCAATCAACTACTTGAGCGGCAATAAATAAGAAAACTGGGAAAAATGATTTGTTCTCCCTTGAAAACAGACCCAAAGATATGCTTCACTATAGACGATTCTCTCATTTAATGTTTCGTGTGCGCTCAAAGATGCTGCACTTAATGACGGCTTCCATTTTTTTTCTGCTTGTCCAGTTATTGCAGAATCTAAATCAATGACATAATGAGAAATAAAACTGGAGATTTCAGGCTTTCGTACCTGAACAGTTGCTGAGATATTGTCATTCAATCACAGCCTCACATTTCAATGCAGGAGAAAATTTGCTGTAAGTTGCTTTCTAAACAAAAGTATTCTAAATATCAAGCTATAATTTCACAGATATCTTTAGAAATATCCATATTTTATGCTGTGCAAACTTCTGGCCAGTCACACGTGATCAAGCAGAAATTGTTGGAAACATCTGAAGATTTGAGAGGGAACGCCATCGCTGCAAAGTTCACAACTGGCTGCAGCTCTAAACAGGAATCTGACAACATGAAATTGACACGTGGCAGTTTAACTATCCAGCCGTACTTCTTTCCGTCCTCTACTGACCTTCAGGTGAACGCTCAGCCGCTTTTCGTTCCCCGACCTCGAGCTGCAACCTCTCTGCTCCGTCCACCCTCGCAGGCAGAGTTTGTTGCACACGAGGGAAATGAAGATGGCTGGTAGACTGGCTGAGCGGCGGTGAAGCTGCGAGGAGTCCCGTCATGCGATAGCCCACCTTCAGCCCCTCACTCAGGCTGGCTGCAGGTGGAGGAAGCGAGGCCGGAGCAGAGAGGAGGGGAGTTGGAGCGGTTGGTTCTGGTCGGTCCTGCAGAGCGATTAAAGCTGCTTGTTTAGACTGGGAAGCTTTTGTCTTAACTGGTTTTACGTCTGCATGTTCTGACAGAGGTACCGAGCAGCTAACAGCATCTTTCCGGTTCTCAGTTGCTTCGATCTGGTTCAGGATGCTCGACCTGCCGGACTGACGGAGTCCGTTACCTCGACCCAGCGTGGATTTAACGTCCTGGAGCGTAATCTTTCCCGGTTTCAAGAACGGCTCATTCACAGATAAACCCTGAACCTCCTCTTCGCTGTCCTCCCAGAAGCCTCTTGCATGAGGCGTTGTGCTGGTTTTGTTCACCTTCGCGCCCAGAAAGTCAGAAGCATGTGTGGTGGTGGAAGGGGACTGCACGACCTTCTGAGGCTTTGACGTCTTCTTTTTAAGGGCATCTTTGGGTTTGGAGTCTGCAGGTAGCAGAGAAAGGCCCTGAGCTGAACCCGATGGCAGCGTTTCCTCTTTAACCTGGCCAGACTTTGCAGCTTCGATCAAGGCACGGAGGCTCGGCTTCTTTGGCTTAGAGACGACAGAAAACAGAGGCGGAGATGTTGACGAGGAAAGGGCGGCGGCCTTGATTTGATCAGTTAACTTCTGTTTCTTCTTCGTCGCTGCTGGTGGAAGTGAAGGAGGACTCAGGGACGTATTGGCTGGTGTTGATGATGCAGACACATCTCCGCCCTTCTCAGCTTGCAGACCTGTTGTCTCCGGCCGTGTGGACTTCTTTCCCTTTGCTGCTGCTTTGGATGAAGCCGCAGTCAGCTGGGAGGACGTCTGACCTGCTGCGATGTCATGTTTGGTTGGAGGCGTTTTGGCGCTCGCTGCTGCTCTGCAGTGTGGCAGGTGGCTCTTCAACCTTTTGTACGTTTTCCCACAGAATGGACACACCTCTGGAACAATGGCACAGTGAAGACAAGTGAGGATAAAACAAGCACAGTAGGATCAAAAACAACTTAACAATGTACATGTCCTTGATTTTTAAAAAAAATATATTCCAGTTATTTTGCAATGTTTCTTCTGGAAACCTTGAACCTCGGCTTTTATGTGGACGCTACTTTGCAATGCACCGACATCCCCAAACAGCACCTCAAAAACTGCTCATGAGTGGCTCGAGGAACACGACAAAGAGCCTCCAAACTCCCCAGATCCTGAGTTTCTAAGCATCAAACACTTGTAGACTATTAAGCACCAATTTGTGCCTTTTCTACATCAATTTATGGTGAAAGTGTCTTTACTTGTTCAAAAGAAAACACAAAATTCAGGTACTCCTAGCAAACTTAGCAGCGATTTTACAAGATGAAAGCTCTTTGCTTCTCTTCTTTCATTTCACCGTGTTCCTCTGAAGCGGCTGAAACAATCAGGCTGATATTCTGCACTTTCATGTCAACCACAGAGTTTAATGAAAAGTCCAAACACGTCTGTACAAGACGCATCTGCTGCATCCGTCCTGAGATCAACGCCTATTCCTGTGTCCATGCCCCGATGAGTCAGAGCTGCACAATATCTGGAAGGCGGTTTTAATGTTGTGGCTGATCAGCGTGCGACAAAGAAACACATCAGACTATGAGCTGACTGATCAGATTTTAAACTCAGCTTCTTTCCCATTATTGGTATCAGAATTTTTTTTTTGACTGATTACCGAATAAATCCATCCATCCATCATCTCTACACCTTAATCCTCACTCGGGTCATGGGGGGCGGAGTCTATCCCAGCTGACTCAGGGTGAAGGCACCTGGACAGGTAACCAGTCTATCACAGGGCTACACTTAGAGACAGACAACCAAGCACACTCACATTCACACCTACGGACAATTTAGAATCACCAATTAACCTCAACATGTTTCTGGACTGTGGGAGGAAGCCGGAGAACCCAGAGAGAACCCACACTGCACGAGGAGAACATGCAAACTCCACACAGAAAGATCCCAGGTGCCCACACCAGGACGCGAACCGGCGACCTTCTAGCTGTGAGGCAACGATGCCAACCACCGCCCCAATTTAAAAATGCCCTCCTGACTGGTAGCTGCTACTCTGTGGTCTCAGGCCATAAACCGTCTACAGCACATCACAGTGACCTGCTGTCAGCACTGAAGGATGAAAGTTAAAATGTTCACACATGCAAAACATAAACCAGTGAAGGTACGGAGTTGGTCTTATTCTTAGTTTTGACACCAACATTGTCATTTTTTCTGCAAATGCGCAGCTTCGGAAATAATGACGAAACCACAGCGACCACCAGCGCGTTCTGTCTGCTGCTTTGTGGTTCTTGGTGACGTCGTTCCACGCTTTCTTCTTCGGGCGGTGATGACAAGTGTTTTGCTGATTTCAAGAAAGTTAGCAACGGTTCTTTGACTATGTCCCTCTTCACGAGTCAGGTGTGTAGTCATCTCACAGACTGACAGTTTGGATTGTCTGTTGACTTTACATCCACACATTATGCACAAACCACTGGTGACTCAAAATAAAATTCACCCATCTTATGTGAATTTGGAAATGTTACTCATATTTTTAACATAATTTATCGTGTACATTGAACATTATAAGATTTTTTCCCCTGTAGTTTAGAAGATGTTGGAATTTTTTAACCACAAGTTTAACAAATTTCAAATTTTTATTATGTTTAAGGCCTGTTGTGTGAAGAAAACGGCAAAAGGTCTCATAATTAAAGCTGTGTATTGGCTTTAAAAGAACAAAAAAAGCTCATTAAACAAGGTGAAGCCTTTTATAGGAGGAAATGTTTTGCATTTTTATTGCTCAGACTATAAACACAGCTGCTCATTTATTTTTTGATCACGATCCAGCCACTGTTTTTAGCTCCAGCTGCATAAAAACTGATGACAGTGTAAATACTATATTTAGTATTTCTATTCTATTCAAAAATACCAGTAAACATCCAGCTTGTGTTCTGACCTGTAGCGTTCAAGAAAAACAGCCTCTAAGTCAGTGGTTCTTAAACTTTTTGAGCCATGACCCCCAAAGATAACATCAGTTTGTGTTCCCCAATTTGAATTATTAATATCTCACGAGTAGTAATTTTGATGCTAAAGCGTTAAAAATTAATGTGTTACTTCCAGAGATTAATCTCTTTACATTAACACATTAATTTTCTTTTGCATGAATGAATGAATTGAATTTATTCCAAACAAATGAAAAAAAATTATAAAAACAAAAGAAAATAAGTTTGAAAAGAGCAAAAAAAAAGAATAATATCTTATAATCAAATCATATTTACAAGTTCAAAAAAGGAGTAGGAAGAAGTAGACACTTGATTTTGACAGCCCTAATACACATTTATTTGATAAATGTAGGCTTTATTTATTTTTATCTTTTACAATGATCTGACGACCCCCTGAAATTATTATGGGACCCCCATTGGGGTCCCGACCCCCAGTTTGAGAACCACTGCTCTAGACGAGGACATACACGGTTTTCATAGTTCGGCAGTTCGGTTCCAACAACGATAATAATACACAAGTCTAAATACTGTTAGTTGTGATTAGTGGTCTCTGTGCTTTCTGGGTCACAGACGGTTCGGACTCACCGGAGCTCATTTCGTCTGTCGGCTGGACGCATGTTCCGACAGTCGGACCAGAAAACCCACCAGTTACCCTAAAACTTCATCAATCACCACATTCAGCCGCGGTTTGTGCCACTTTTAACCTCTTCTGGTTCGACTTTTCACGTGCAGGGTCGTAACCGTGTTATGAGGCGGAAGACCCCTGTTTAGGTGTCCCGTCAGAAGCCTGACTGTAAATCACTAAAACCGCCGCTTAACGTAAACTGATTTGAATAATTTCCGTTTAAATCAACGGTTTTATTTATGTATTTATTTGTTAATAACGGGGCCGTGTGATGCGCAGCTGAACCGGTACAGTCGTGTCTGGACACGCGGGGCTCCGTTCGAGTGGGTGTGGTGCGTCGACGCGAGTGCAGATGATTCACTCCTCCCGGCTTCCGTCTTTGTGTAAATCCCCAAACATACCGACACAGTTTTGGTGAAGTTCGCGAAAAAGAAAAAAAAAGCAACACAAAACCACAAACTGTTGACACTTATGTCACGGGAAAATTTGATTCACGCCCCCCCAGTCGTGTTCATCATAGTTTCTGGAAGACATTGAAATTATTACCTAAAAAAAATCCACCTTAATACTGCTCAGTTTTTATCTTGTTCTGAAATGAGCGTTAGAATTAAGCATTAATTTCAATATCTTTTGGTTAAATTAGCTGCTGTTTGCTTTCCTCAGCTGTCATGTTTTGTTAATTAATATTTTATGACTTAAGCAGACCAGGAACTGAGTTGGAGTTTCATAGGAAATCCCATTGATGTGTCTAATAAAGGCTTTATTGTACATATCTACGGGAAATCCCTCCAAGAAGTTCCAGAGAAATGTCATTGCGTGGATAATAAACTAAAAAAATAACCCCAACTGACAGAAGAGGGTTCAAACCAGACAAAAATAGCACCTCGTATGAGTTCTGCATTTAAAAATTAATTAAAAATTCAAACTTCTATCTTAAATCTATTTAGAATATTTTGCTTTTTGAGCCATAGCTGTTCATACATAAGCAGAATGTGTACACACCAGTGTGTAGAATGAACAAAGAAGGGTATAATATCATTAGAAAAGTGTATTTTATTGATAGGGTTAGAGTGGTATGAGACTTGACATGAGGTTGAATCTCAAAAAAAGGTGATGGAAAAAAAAAAAAAATTACACAAAAATACATCTACATCAAGAAGGTCATCTTCATTGGAAAAGCAGTGATTTGAAAAACATTCAGAATGGAAAAAAAAAAAAAAAAATACGCCATTTCTACAACCATTTACATATACGGAGATAAACCTGAATATTATTTACATGGCAACAGATTACAGTATTTACAAAGCCAGGACTGGAAGCACACCGAGGCTCTCGTGAGCTTCTTATTTGGAGAAAAACTGCAGACTGTCGACGTGAACAGTCCCGAAAAGGCATGGGGTGTTTTTTTTTGGCAGAGAAACAAGAGATTTTAACAGTGCCTGGAAATTGTCCTCTAACAAAGATTGGCCCCCTACGGAACACAGAAGCTGACAAAAGAACTCAACTCAAGTCGCTTTTTGTTTTTGTCACATTTTTCTTTTTTTCCTACAAATTCAAAAATGTGTTTTTAGAGGGAGATTCTAAACAGCACAAAACAAGAAAGGGTTTTTGTTTTTGTTTGTTTCAGCGATGCCTGGAGTCAGTGCCGATACAGATATTCTCACATGACGGGTTACATCTCACCACAACAATGTCGGTTACAGTATATTCAAACAATCTAGAGCAAATCTCTGTACATTTATTAACAGACATTCATGATTCAGGCACACAGGAGGAGGGTCGGGGAGGGGAGTCTGTCCCTTTACAAGACATCTAATCGGAGATGAGAAGAAAGAAAAAAAAAAAGAAAAAGGGGGATTCTGGGTTAACGTCAGGGGCCGGAGCCAGGAGGATTCAGTACTAAACACCACCCAGCTAACGGTATGGAGGCCTGGCTGAGGCCCACCCAGACGCAAGGTTAGATTTTTTTTCAGTCAGTTCATGAACAATTAACATCAGCATTAACACCGGTTTTGATTCAACCCTGAGAAAACAGTGGACTGCATGTTCACTTACTGGCACACCTGCCCGCTGTGCCAACGGAGGCAATCTCTTTACCCTCTGAATGACCAAAAACTAAAAAAAAGGAACGACTTGGATTTTGAATTACCTGATTTAAGAAGCTAAGATTGGCTTTAATTCTAAGGAGAAATTTAAACAGTGATTAAAGAAATTACAAGGAAAGGCATCGTAGGTTCAGTCGAGAAGATTTCCACAAACGAGGTGCCGGTGCTGGAGCCAGTTTGGACGCTAAACCTTGAACCGTTTGGAGAGCTTTCAGAATCCACCGTCCTTCATGCCGACATCTTAAATCTGCTGATCTCCAACCGAGATGGGAAGAGGGAGGAACGGGGCTGCGATGTAGCCTCCAGATCATTCGAGACGATGTTCACGAAGCAGCACCGGAGAAGCAGCAGAAACAAGGGAGTGAATTTGGACTAAATCAGTGCCTGGACACAGACTGAGCACATCTTTGACCATCTAACTCTGCAAACGTGGACTATTTCCTGCGTGTGTAGCTCGACAAGTTGTGTATCTGGATTATAAAACCGTACGCCTTGTTTGTAAAAAGTTTTGCCCGTTTCCACTGGCGCCAGCACCGGCACCTTGTGAGTCGGAAAAGCCCCAGCAGGTCGTGTACTGCGAGGCAGAGCTCAGGACTGAAGGGAGAGTCTCAAGAGGAAGCGGCAGGGATCGGATGTCGTCCAAGACCCAGAACCAGCTCCTCGTCTTTCAACATCACCACTAACAAGAGGGCCAACTCTTCAAAGAGGAGCGTAAAAACTAATATAAAAATGTCTGAAGAAGATTGCTGACGTCTATCGGACTCTTCAGAGGCTGCTCTCGCCCACGTCCTCTTCGGGAGCGAGGGGGTGGTTCTGTCCCCGTTCGGGTCCTCTACTTTCACAGGTTGCCAGGGGTCATTGAAGCATGAGCTGCTTGAGGTTGTCGTGCAGGATGGTGTCCTTGACGTCCCGGAACACCAGCCTGATGTTCTCCGTGTTGATGGCCGTGGTGAAGTGGTGGTACAGCGGCTTCTGAGTGGCTTCGCGCCTCTTGGCCCGGAAGCACTCCACCAGGAACGCCTGGATGTCCGGCAGGCTGTGCTCCGGCCCGGTGTAGTCAGGAAAGTAGTCCTTAAGGGGAACGCTCTTCACCTTCTCCTCCAGCAGATCCGTCTTGTTGAGGAAGAGGATGATGGAGACGTTGACGAAGACGCGGTTGTTGACGATGGTCTCGAAGATGTTGAGGGATTCGCGGAGGCGGTTGGTCTGCCTGTCCTCCATCAGCACCTGTTAGAGATGACAGAGGGAGTGAGTGCTGTTACTGCTGTTATAAAGAAAGCTAAGAATGCCTCCTATAGATTAGGATCCTTTAGTGATCCGAAGAGGTGAAAGTCCATTTTTATTGTGCTTGTTGTTATAAACTGTTACGCTAGGAGGACATTTACTCCACTTTGTACAGCCAACGAGCTTTACAGGGCGGTGAGAGTACCACTGAACTGTTATGTAAGATCCCAGGCGTCCTCACTGGGAGGCGAACCGGCGACCTTCTAGCTGCGAGGCAACGGTGCTAACCACCGATCCACCTTGCAGCCCATTGGGGAACCAATAGTCCTTCAGTTGAAACTCTGCATAGTCCTGCACCCTAACTGCTTCCAGGTGAACAGCTCAGAATGCTGCCTCACAGTCCACCAGGTTCCTTCTGCTAACGCTAAAATGTCTCAGCCACTACCATAGCACAACGAATGTTCTGCTGTTGGTCACAAGAGTGAACACAAGATGCTTCATGCACTCCCAGCATCTGAGAAACTACAGATTAGAAATGTCCCCACAACAATAGGAAACCTCTGGTGTCAGCATGTTGTGTGGCTAATGTGGCTAACGTTAGCTTTGATCCTACGGCCACAGGTCAGAGCTCTGTGGAACCTGTGAAGCTGAGGGGACGTTCAGAGACGTAAAAACCGACTTGAAACCAGATACTATGCTTCAGTCCAACCTAAACTCAGTCTGTGTTTAAACCCGTTTACTTCTCTCCTGCTCTCTGTGCTCACACATACTGCATATGAACACAGCTGGATGCTCAATAAAGCCGTTCTCATTTGTTTTTTGAGTGCAGCTCAGCTGCATTTAAATCTACAGACACTAAAGCACAACAGAACTAAAACCAGTGGCCACACAGTCATGATGGAATGAACCAAAAAAATAAATCAAAGACACATTCTGGGGACATGTGAGACTCCCATTAATTTGCTGAAAAGGGGTCACAATATGAGACCTTCTACTTTGAATGCAACATCCTGTCAGATCTCGATGGTCCCTTTATAAAGCATGGCGCTACTACTCAGTAACTTTTTTTCTTGTCTGTGCTTCCTGTGAAGCAGATTCAGTTCAGTCTGTGTCTGAGCAGAGCAACCAGTGAGTCAGATCTCATTCACAAGAAAAACCGTGTAGTTCATGTGCTTATATATAGCTTACTGAGCGAGTGCTGTAGGTGCACACATGTTAAACAACAGCTGGAAGAGCCGAGTAAGTTACAGCAGCGAGGAGAAAGAAGACAGGATAGAAAGTATGAGCCGGCGCTGCTCAGCCGAGGCTGGGTAAGTCTCAGGAAACACGACAAATATGCCAAGCCCTTGGGGATGTCATTAGCCAACTATTACCTGAAGGCAGAGCGGGAGTGTCTCTCCCCACAGGGTGGAAACAGCCTCCGACCAAAGATTCAACTTTTAGCAACCAGTGCCAGGAGAGTTTAAAGCTGGACATGTGTAGCCTTCCTCTGCTGTGAGGTTTAAAGTGCTGCTTCTTAGTTAATTCAGCATCCGGTCACAGAAATGTCACCACAAAACTGGTCGATGTTGATCATTTTCAGTCGATTCAGTTATCAGGCTCCTTGATTAGGAATAAACAGTGCAACCCCGACCAAACAGCAGCTGGAAAATGTTCTGCCCTGTGCACATCTGAACTCTTTAATAATCACATTTGACCACTTTCAGCAAAAACCAAAACGTATCCATCATGTGTGTGTTTATTCTAAAAATCAGAAGTTCTTATAATTCTCACATATCAGTATCGACTCATTACCAGCTGGACGTTTCAGTTTCTCTAAAGCAGACAACCATCATTTTATGTAAAATAAAACCCAAAGATGTCACCCTGTACATATACTCCTCCTGTTCTCCTGAAACCTCGAAGCCCAAACTAAGCTGTATGTTCTAACATCCTCTGGGTGAATGTGATGAACAACAGACTGACTCACACTATTGACCAATGAGCTGTGGCTATTTTAATGTGTACAACTTCTATAAAAAGGTATCTATGACATGCTGGGGCGGCACTTTGGCCTTTTTTGGTATAGCAGTGAAGGAAAAGAGGAAACACGGGAATCAAAGACAGCTTCTAGAAAACTGGAGACGTTACACCGTGTGAGTCTTAATCAAGCTACCAGGACGCTCACTGAACATCCAACTCATACCGCACATGTACACTTTATGTCATCTAACAGCTTTAGCAGTTATTCATATTTACTAGAGAAGGTCTTGCATAACGTGAGGTAACTCCTAGTAGTAAGGCAGCAGCAGCACGTGTAGAAACAGTAATGATGACTTATCAAAATCCACCAAACCTTATCATCTAGAACAAACTGATAACAGCGCCACTTATCAGCGTATCTTAAGTGTGTGCCTGCGCGTGAGGAAGCCGAGCGTTTTCTACCTGGTCGTATTCAGAGGAGGAGACGAGGAAGAGGATAGAGGTGACGGAGTCGAAACACTCGAACCAGCGCCTCCGCTCCGACCGCTGCCCTCCCACGTCCACCATCTTGAAGGGGACGTTCTTGATCTCAAAGTCATACTCGTGGATGCCCTTGGTGGGTTTACGAGCCAGCAGGATGTCCTGTTGACTGGGAAGATAATCCTGCAGGGGGGAGGCGGAAAGACACAACATCGGCGTGAGTACGAGAAGGAATGCAATCTGCTGTTTCATCAGCCGCTCGATCTGAAACGCCTTCAAAGTAAGTCGAGATTAAGTCGGAGATCGAGTTTGTAGACAAATAATAAAAGATAAAACTTAAAACAGGAGAAAGTTTTCCAGGTTCTGACTTTATTTGTACTAGAAGGTCCATATTGATCACGTGTTATCTGGTTTTAATCCAACTTGAGTGATATTTAATCCAAAACATGTGCTGGATTGATGTTATAAGAAAAGCTGGATAAAGTTTAGGATGAGCTTCAGAGAAATCACAGCCGAGTACAACATGACAAAGACAGTTCTTTAAATATGTTCACATGTGCAGGACACATGTGGACACACGTTTATCTTTAAAACATACAGTAAATGTACTCGTGGAGATTAAAATAAGAAGCTGGTTTATATCCTCAGAGTCTCAATCAGACGCTGAAGTTTGGAGGGAAGCCTGTGTTAATGTAATTAGATGATCTTTGTAATGGTTGTAAAGGAACAAAGGTTCTCTAATGTATTAGAGCAGGTTTTATTATTGTAATGTTAATAACTGTTCAGTGTTATGCTCTAAGGTAGCATTTATAAGAAGTATATCACCTCTGAATAAAGCTGATTTTATCCTTGATGTCAGAAAGTTTAAGTGTATATTCATATAACAATGTTGACCTCGCCTGTGGAGGCTGGTGAATAAACAGATAATGAAAAACACGGCTGTGATTATATGAACTATGTCTTTATAAGAATTGTAGTTAAGCACAGGACATGAGCAACCACTTGAAATGTCCTCACAGCTCCTTAAAACTACACTATAGTCGGTAATAAACCATTTAATAAAAGTCTGTCCATACATTCAGTGGTCTCTTTGTTTTTATTAAATACAACTTCTTCTTCTTCTTCTAGGATGTTTGAATGTTTTTAACAGCATCAAAAAGTTTTAAACTAAATTATATTTAAGTACTGTGTGTTTGTGTTGAATTACATAATATTGAGACGTGCATCTAATATAATGTAGCTCAGTGGAGCAGCTCCTTCATGTGATAATTACATTTACAAACAAAGCTGAACGTTAGAAACCTTATAAAAGGCTCAATTGACCGTGCTGATATTATAACGAGGTCACTTGTTTGTAGAGAACCTTAGATATTTACATTTCAATTGAATCTTCTGGATTTGGTTTTAAAAAAAGAAGAAAAAAAGTCAGAAGCCAAATCTTGGTGTTGGGAAAAAAAATAAAACAGAAATCACAAACGTTTGGGGGGAAAAAAACAACAAACATTTTCTAAAGTTCAATAAATGTCATAAATTGGAAACTAATCATAAGATGTCAGGATTGTCCTCAAGAATGAAACAACATTTTATATTATATTTGGAAAATGAGGCGTTATTTGAAGGAAAATGTTGCTTTTTATAATCTGTTCAGATATATGTGATGGAATAAAACATTAATATTTGTTGGACGATGTCTTTATAAAAAAGATTTATTGGAAGAAGGTGGGTATTGGTCGTATTCGTAACATAATTTGCATGTAAACCAGATTTATGCTGGATTTTAACCTTTTTGCTTCATTTTTCATAATCTCACAGGCCAGAGGATAAAAGCATGATGGAAAACCAAGAGTTATTTATCATTAAACACATTTTTCCACCCTTTTATTTGAGTCTTTTGCAAATTAAGAGCAGCGGTACTTTACCCTGCTGCCACCGCTGGTTTATAACTAATAAGAAACTTCTTGACCAAAACGTCGGCATTATCGCCGGCGAACAAACGTCGCAGCTAGCTCGTCAGCTAGCCTCACATTGTCTAGACATGTTGTAATATTAACTATAACATGCACACATCTGATTATAACAATAAGTGCAGGCAGGAACCACTTACCGGCTCGCCAAGCTTATCCAGATTATCCAAGAAATACTTCACTGACTCACCCTGCGACAGGACACAAGAGGAATTTCTGTTAATTCTACACAATTAATTAGCTTCTGTCATTTCATCATAAACAGTTTGCATGAATCACACACTCGCTGGCTGCCACATTCAAGTGAAAACATTTGTTGTCGGTGTGAAAGTCACACAGCCGGAGAAGAAAATCTGCCTTCGGCTGCCACACAAAACACACGTTTGCAGGTAATCTGTTTGTTTTCTCTTTCAGAGCCGTGTGTCCGCCCCACAGCCGAGGCAGGATGCAAATGACTTGGTGCTGCTGGAGACACGTGTTTAGAAGTGTGTCTTTGATGTATACACAAGTGTAGCTCGGTTTGTGTGTGTGTGTGTGTGAGCGTTTTTTTCTCTCAACCATTCTGACACTGCTTTTGTGCAGTTAGTGCAAGTCTAGACACGGCTGCTGCCAAGACGGAGATGCATTCCTTCATCGGTGTGTGTGCGGGTTCTGCACTCGACATAAGCAAAAAGCCAAACAGACGTTCTTCCACGTGACCCACAGTGTCTATTGTAACACACCTTTACGGGGGATTTTTTTTAATTTGCATGTATTTTGCATTAATGACACGATAAGCCAACACCCGAGCAATTAAATTCAAATCTTCAGCGTGGTAGTGATTGGCTGTTGTAGCACCAGCCACTTCCCTCCGACTGCGAGCTCCCGTTCTCACCTTTTGATCTTTTTTAAAAAACCAACCTGACCTGAAAAACCTGTGAGCGTGTGTTTGTGTCGATGTGTGTGCACGGCTAAGATTACACAAGGGAGGAGCGGAGTGGTGCTTCACCAACGCCAGAGAAAAGAGGAGCTACCTTTCTCTCTGTGAAGCTAATTTCAAGTCTGGCCGCAGTTCGGGCTTCGCATGAGTAGAGAAGCTCAAATCTGAACTCTGAGGGGACTGGTGGTTTTGAAATAGTCAAAATTCTGTCAGATTTTTAAAAAGGAGAAGAGAAACAAGAAGAGCAATCACTCAGAGTTCTGTCTGCTCACTATGAGGCGTGATAGCTCCTGGAATCTGTGAGTGTGGGGCTGAAATCAAAACTGAAACTGAACAACATGTAACGCCGTGAGGATGACACTTACAGGAAGATCTGATCTTTAGTCGGCGTCGCAAACATACAAACAGGCCTCAAAACGGTTGATGTTAAAGGCGAACGCTTGGTGAACTCTGTACCGCAGAAAGCAAAAGTGAGGATGTGCGCATTCGGTGTGTACGTCGCGTGTGTTTTCACGATCATTAAGCCTGGAGGCACACGTCATTTGTGATGCAAATACTTAAAGGGCATGGTCAAAACACAATGGCTTCTATCTGCTGGCAAAGACACCAACAGGAACAGAGCAGCGCCCACAGAACCACTCCATAATGTGGATTTTGTTCACATATATTACCTTAACATTGGGGTTTTATACACCGCATAAACTGCAACTAATAATTATTTTCATTTTATTAAAAAGCCTGATAATTAGTTTTTTGCTTAATTGTTCAATCAGTTCATCTGTTAAGTCAAAAACCAGGAAAAAAAATGCAAAGTAATGTTTCAATCTGACCAAAAGCCCCCCAAAATATTAAGCTGACCAAGATTTAAAACAACGATCTCCACATTTGAGATGCTGGAACCGTGAAATGTTTTTCATTTGTCAAGTAAATTGACCAAAATAGTCACCAAATAGTTTTCTGTCAGTCACCCCTTCCATCTGTACACATGTAGTCCTGTGTCAGTGAGATTAAAAAGAAAACTTGTGAAAGAAAAAAAGGTTGCAACTTGTTGTCTGATCAATCAAATATAGATAGCAGGCGGCATCTTCAGATTTCAGTTTATTCTGAACAGGAAAAAATGAAGATATTTAATTTCTAATCATATGAATCCGCGAAAAGCAGCAAATTCACACGAGAGGCTGAAACAAACTGATCGTTTTGCTTAAGAAATGCCCCATAAGTGATCAACTACTGACCTTTTCTTTCTTGGGTTATGCTTTCAGCTAACCTCAGATGGTTTATTGTTCATTTAGTTCCACTGAAGGTTTGGAGTTTCTATGGGTCCATGTTTAATGCTGGATTGAATGTGTGTTAAGCAGGTTTGATTATTTGTTTTCTGCTTCCTGCTCACATAAATTCCCATTTTAACACCCCAAGTGGAAGAAGTATAGCAGAATATTAAATTATTAAATCCACTGGTTCCAGCTTTCTTCCCTTCTGTGACAATATTTCTCGGATTTTTGTCGGTTTAGTCAGAAACAATGTGAGAATGTCGAATTGCACTCCAGGAAAATCCTAACAGGCATTTTTAAAACACTATTTTCACATACTTTATACAACAAATACATGAAAAATAATAGCAGTGCTCCCACAAACACAGAACGTGTGTGTGTCCTTGTGCTTGTGTAACTTGAGGTGTGTGACACTCTTAGTGTTTGTGTGCAAATAATGGTGAGCGGGAGAGCCAGGGCTCTGTTTGTAAGCATAAAGCTGTTTAACTACAGATCAACATTCCTGCTCTGATCACACTTATTCCCCTTTCTGTCTGCAAAACCAGTTCACACCGACAAGCCGAGTGTGTGAGAGACCAAGAACTGTTCAACTTTATGCAAGTGACAGATTTTCTGCTTTTGTCTCATTACTGAACACCACTTAGAGCAGCGGGTCCCTGATTCATGAATCAGTGAAGTTTAACACACAAACTAATACTAAATAATCAAACACAGGGCAGGACAATTAGCGATAGGTGAAATCGCAGCAGGTTATAAAAGTGCTCTGGGGCAAACGTCAGCGTTAAAACCTGCACGCTGACAGCCAACATACAAGGAGAGGGGAGAGGTGTAAACAGGAAGCTGACTCAGTCACATGGCTGACCGCTCAGCACGGAGAGCGCCAGAGATACAAGAACCAGAGCTGAAGACACATGGAGAGAGAAGAGGGAGGATGAATTAAGAATTGGTTTCACTTTCTGTTTTCACTGTCTTTTTCAAATCGCTTTTCAACTCAGAGGCTTTTCTGCAGAAACCAAACTCGTATCTCTAATTGGAACCAGTGACAGAACGCTGTGCGCTGAAGCCACATGAAGCGACGCTCTCATCAGATTGAGCTGGTAGGCAAACTAGGCCACCAGATTTGTCGGTGATGTTATCTCGGTGCGTGTGGTGGACGTACCAGCTGAAACTCCCTGCGACGGTCGTAGGCGTTCTGTATGCCCGAGTCTGCCCACAGGGCTTTAATGGCGGGCAGGTACCGCAAGAAGACAGACGTCTCCAGCTGCCCGCTCGCCATCTTAGCCGACCGGGTGTCGAACGCCATCAAGCTGTCGCCATGCGGCTGGTTGTCTGAGTCACCCCAGGGGATGTGCAGCTTCTCCCGGGCGTCCACCAACACACGAACACCTGGGGAGGCAGGAAGGAGATTACCATCAGAGAGCAACACGTGTGGTATCTCAGAATCTAGCAGGGCAGACGTACATGAAACCTAAAGTGAATGGGGGGGAGGAGGGGAGACGGTGAACGGCTTGCCAACTAAAAATTAACACAACAACGGTGTCACTTTCAAATCTCCTTTGTCTGATCTGAGTGATGCAGCAGGAAGGAAACGATTACTTCAAGGCATCACAGCCACAGGATAAATATAAGCGTGTGCCACAATTACATTCACATTATGTCCACAACTTCCTATGATTTCCTCTATTTTGAGACTTTATCTCAATCATAGTTGAAACACA